TACAAGTTACACATTAATAGCCTAAAATAATAAAGTGAAATAATAAAAACAACTTGTACAACTTTACTAAATCTGTTGTTTTAAGAATGAATGTGGACATGTTTGAATTTCCATAAGGTCATTTTTAGTGTCAAGATACTAGAGTCTAGAATAAACTAGAGTGGACAGAAACCAAAATGATTATAACTAATTATTAAACAACAACCTGTCTGGTCATGCCTGACTCTACTAAATATAAATACAAAACTAATATTTTTACATAGTTGAAATCTGAATTAACAGCTTCTAAAAGCCCACATTTCTTACTAAACAGCTTAACATTTTCATCTCTTAAAAACTTTGAATCCAACCAAATGTGAATTGTACTGAATTTTTTTTCTTATTTTACTCAATATAACTGGAACTTTAATTAATCTATATAAACCAAAGATTTTTCACTTGGAATGTAAAATGGATTGGAAGATTTATCCTCTTATTTGTACAATATGTTTTAGGACTTGAATTTTATTCCAAATTGCACTGTAGTAAAATAAATAAATATTACTGACTTACTTGGAGGTTTCTTCCTTTTTAAAGGGAGTTTTTCCTTCCCACTGTTGCCATTGTGCTTGCTCAGGATGGGAGACTGCAACAAAGTGAAGATTCAACATGTCTGCTGGCTTCCTTACATAGAGAACTTTACTAATTGGCTTTTCTATGTATGTGGATGTTCCTGTAAAGTGTCCTGAGACAACTTTGTTGTGATACGACGCTATATATGTAAATAAACTGAACTGAATTGAATTGAATCATTTAATTTACTCAGGTGTCCCTGTAGACATTTTCAAATGTATTTTTTCACATTACACACTCATTATAAATCTCAAATCAAATTAGATTGCACCAAGCGGGTTAAATAAATAACGGGGTTAGAAGTGTGTGCAAGGAGTCCATTCTCCTCAGTTATTCAGAGCTCAAATCAGCTGCTATTTACTAATTCATTAAACCATATTTTATTTTATTTTTTTGTAGAAGGCATAAATTGCCAGGACTCTTATTTTCTATGATTTTTACTTAAAACATCATTTTCAGCAGTGGTGGAGCTGTGCTGTCTGAACACCTGGTGGCAGCACAGCTCACAGCCATGCACTGACCTACTTGCCCCAAATCACAGGGGCCAGCATCTCATTTAACTTTATCTTTCCACGGACAGCTTCATTTTAAACAAAATGAATCTGTCAGAATTTAATCTTCTCATCTCCAGCAGGTCAATGAAACTCCTGCACATTTTTTAAAATGGGTTCCTTTGGGTGAGAAAACCGTCACTGAGTCAGCAATTGACCCTTTGCGATATTATTTTTATTTCTTTACTCAGGGAGCCCCCGGTGAGCGCGGACCCTCAGGAGCCAGTGGTCCCAAAGGTGCCACTGGAGACCCCGGCCGTCCTGGAGAGTCTGGTCTTCCTGGAGCCAGAGTAAGTTTCTATTACACTCAGAACAACAAGGAGATCCTGTTCTGCTGTTATTAATACCACACATAGAGAAATATCATCCACTCTTTCAGTTATGACTCAATGTTAATTATTTAAGCTTATGTCATTTTTTCACACAGCATTATTTGGCTGAGTTTCTTTCCTTCCAGTCCATATTTTGAAGAATTATGGACACATTTCTACAAACAGAGCAGTATTTTATCAAAGTCATTTGCATGAAATGAGTTGCTGAACCACCTAATTTTATCGCTGGCCACTTTAAAACTACACTTTTCAGTTTCTAAATATTTAGGATGTGCTGCATCATGTGCTGTTCAGATGAACTAATTATGTCAGACAGCATCTCATCAGTTTTTGCTGCTCGTTTTCTGCACCTTCCCCTGATCCACACGTCTCTGAGCGGCAAATGATGTACGACTATAAACAAGCCTGATCCCCAGCAACATCAAATACTCCCTTTTACTTCCATTTTTACTTTTCAGACCATTAAAGTTATATAAGCATGACTGTTTAAAAGCTTAAAAAGTCACCTCAGCCCAATTTAGAGATCTTTTGTACATGAAATTCAAAGCTGGTTGAAACTTACGTCTTTTATTGATACAAGTTAATTCAATGTGAATTTTTTGACTATTTCCACATGTTCAAACTTGTTTTTGACCCAGTTGAGGTAGAATCTGGTGACATCAACCTGAGGCAGGTTTTATATCTCATGCAACTCGTTCAATTTAAAAAGGCTTCACAGATTTTTTTTTTATTTTTTTTTTTTATGTGTGAACCTTTACAGGATCTAAACAGACTAAACAGGTGAAGTTGGCGAATCTAAACATTTCTCCAAAAAAAAAAAAAAAACGATATCACAATTTTTGCAGCTCTGTGCAGCTTCTGGACGAGATTAATCCACCTTTTATGTGTGAAATCCCTAAAATTTGCAGGGATTTTACATTGTTACTGAACAGCATCTGTATTAAATGCATTTAGTTTTACATTGCACAACTGCTTGTTATAATTTGTGTTCAATGGACTCATTCACGAGTCTGTTTTTAGTCATTTCCATCAGATGTTGGTGCCTGTTACACTGATATTCAGAGGTGCAAATGGTTTTACACAGCACCGCATGTTCTACTCTCCCTCTTGTCAGAACATGTTTTCATGGATTGAGTGATCAGCTGGTTCTCACAGGGTTCTGTTCTCTTTCTGTTCTCTGTCAGGGCCTGACGGGTCGTCCTGGAGACGCTGGACCTCAGGGCAAAGTTGGACCCTCTGTAGGTGCTCTTTTTATGGCATAACAATTTATACTGCCAATGTCAGTTTAGGCTTTTTTCCCCCTTCACTTTACCTTTGGATCACAGCCACTCCAAACCATTAGACCCAGTTCTAGAGTAAATTAAGAGTGCACAGCATTTATCATGATACATGCACATTTATATGAGCTGCTGTGATTCTGGAGTTTGTAACTGAGCTGATCTGCTTTCATCAGGGAGCTCCTGGTGAGGATGGCCGTCCAGGCCCCCCAGGCCCCCAGGGAGCCCGTGGACAGCCTGGTGTCATGGGATTTCCTGGACCCAAAGGAGCATCTGTGAGTTCTCATGAAGCTTAACGCATTCTTTGTATCAAGACAGTTCTGCTATTTGATATCGTATCTGTCCATGATGAAACTCTATCATGAATAAATGATAATACACCTGGTCAATACTTTCTGCCATGCTTTTAAGCACCTTTATTTTATGTAATGTGCACCATGCATCAGTGACAAGTGCATTGTGTCTCTTTTATTAGGGCCTGCCTGGCAAGTCAGGTGAGAAAGGACTGGCTGGAGCTCCTGGTCTAAGAGTAAGTATTTTATTAGTTGAGTGTAACACACACCATCCAAGCAGATTCAAATTGAGTTGTAGTCATAAATGATATGATTATCATGAGCTTATTTTAAAGTGTAATCTATAATTTCTCTAATATATTGCCTTCTTACCTGCTTCTTGTCAATTTTTTTACAGCAAAACATATAAAATCAATCTAAAACATTAATAATATTTAAACTTTATGTTCTCTGGTGTTTGGAACTCAAATATAACTTGAGAAAAATATTTACTGTTTTAAACCCTGCAGCTTCAAAATCATCAAAGTGAGTCATTTAAAACTTTGAAGCTGTGACACGTTTAGTTGTGGCTACACGTTAGTTCAGCCACATACTGGAGGTTGTGTTGAACAGCCCCATCGTAGCCCTGATATGTTTGTGAAGCTAATAGCATCACCTTTGGTCCTGATTTTTATCTGTCCCTGCTCCTCAGGGTCTGCCTGGCAAAGATGGAGAAACCGGCTCCGCTGGACCCCCTGGCCCTGCTGTAAGTATCTCCATCTTCCTGCTCCGACTCTCTATAGCTTCAATGCTGATTTTATCTCTTTTGCTAAGTCTGCACTTAGATCCACCCCTACAGTATCTCAATTTCCCAGACGGTCTTTACAATAGCTCTGTCTGAGGTGAAAAAGAACGCTCGTGTCTTGATATTATGAGATTGGATGCCAGACTCAACGACCTTCTTCCTGTTTGAGTTTGTGTCTCAGAGCACTGAAAAAGTCGGTTTAACATAAAAAATAGATGACAAATTAGTCATGGTTAATGATTTAAGAGCTGTGTTGTTTTTAAAAAGTTCTAATCATTTCCTACCATTGTATCTATGATTATGCATTCATTGTCTTGCTGATGAAACGTGATGATAATGGGATGTGGATTATCTGTTCAGGGTCCTGCTGGGGAGAGAGGAGAGGTGGGACAACCTGGTCCATCAGGCTTCCAGGTGAGTCTGTCTATACCTTAAATGGCTGAAATGACTGATTAAAAAAAACTCTTATTTTGAAATCAACAACTTTCTGCAATTTAAATATTTGTACAAATATGAATTTTACTCAGTTTTACTCAGAAGTCCTCTGAGTGCTTTTTAATTTGTGCCAGGTTTTCTGATAAAATCGGTGGTTAAAGTCAGTTTTCAAAGGATATTTTTGTGAACACTTTATAGCACGAGCAATCCACTGAGAGTTCCTAGAGATGCTTGTGTTGCGACAAAAAACCAAAGCGTGATTTTTATATTTAACCGTAATGTTGATTTTTGAAGATGTAAATCTACATCTTTGTGTTTACTATTATAATTAGTGCTGACTGTTTCTTCTTCTCTCCTGTGTGCAGGGTCTTCCTGGACCTCCTGGACCTCCTGGAGAAGGAGGCAAGCCTGGAGACCAGGTTGGTGCACTTCTTTTAATGAAGAACCGTAGCTCACGCCAATAGAAAAAGTCCCAATGTTAATGTTTTCACTGCTTATTACAAAGTCGTTTTAAAGTGCTGCATAATGAGCTCTAAAGACAGAAACACTTTTACATGTTCGTATTATCAAACTAAAAAGAAAAGGAAAAAATAAAAGATGATCCCTTTTAGGCATTTGAGCTTTTCTGCCGACTGAATTAGACTTTGTTGATGTTCAAAAGTGTGAAACAAACACATTTGTTAAATGCCATAAGATAATTTAATTTGTTTAATTGAAAACTGTTCTAACTTTTCCCCTTCGCTTGTCTTCTAAGGGTGTTCCTGGAGAGGGTGGACCTGCTGGTGCAACTGGACCCAGAGTAAGTTTGCAGTTGGTTTAGCTAAATTCTGGTCTGCTGAGGATTATATACGCTGTTAATTATTGCTGTGACCTTTTTCTTTTTTTTTTTTCCAGGGAGAGCGTGGTTTCCCTGGAGAGAGAGGAGCTGCTGGCCCTCAAGGTCTGCAGGGACCCAGAGGCCTGCCTGGAACTCCTGGAACCGATGGACCCAAAGTGAGTCCAGCAACCGGAGGACAGTGATCAAATTAATAAACGCTGTTCCATGAAGGTTACTCACTGGAAAATAAGTTTCTTTGAATGCAACAGCACACACACGACTGGCTGATAATTACCTCTGGGATCTGGAAGTTGACTGGTGCAGATATTTATTTATTTATTATAAACTTGAAGTGGTGAGGAAAAAACACCATTTAGGATATAAACCACTAAATCTTTTGCTTTGAATTATTAGCGAGAGATCGGCTCATGGACGTCTGTATTACATCTGGGCCATGAAACAGCAGCTTGGTCCTCCTGATGAGGAACATTTCATCACATAAGAGGGAATTACCTCAGGGGTGGCTCAGCGGCAGCAATTCCCAAATTAGAGTTATTGGGTCTAAATGATTAACAGAAGAACAAAGCAGAAATTGTATTTCTGATTTATGAACTTCTGCTTGATTTTCTGACTTGACCTGAATTTTTTCTTTACCTCAAGGTTTAAAGTTCAGGTGTGACAACAGGTCTAAATTCTCCTAAATTCTTTTTGTTTTATTTTTAAAAAGCTATACTTTCTTGTAAAATTTTAAAGTGATCTTAATAACTATTTTTCAGTCTTTCTGAAGGCCTTTTAAAGTGTTTCTTTGGACTTTGCCTGTTTTATATATATATATATATATATATATATATATATATATATATATATATCATTATTGTCCAACTTTAGTATTAGGCCATTCAACATAGTGTGCAGTGAATGCATAAAAAAATTAGGAAAATGGACAAGTGGGGGTAAAAGTGGAGACAAATATTACTAAAGCAGATGAACAGTACCTGAAAAGTGTCTCTTTAAGAAAAAAGAATTCAATAAATTGAGTTTTCAGCTATTAGCTTTTAGAAAATCAGCTTGGTGTTGCTAAAATGTCATTTTATGTGACAAACGTTAGTATATGTAGTATTTTTCATAGATTTATCTGCAGAAATTGGAACAAATTTACTCGTCGGGACCAGATGCTTGAGAACAAAATTCTAAAAGATTTGATTTAAACTTAATTTTTTGCTAAAGTTGCTCAATGAGTTCATTCTTTGAGTTGAGAGGGCTTTTTATGCCTGAATGATTCGTCGGTCAGAGTTAAGTGGTCAACTACTGGACTAAAAAGAAGCAAAAGCATCCAAATGCCAAAGAAAACATTGGAATGTCTCCTGAAAGCCTGAAAAATTATTGCCCAAAACCACTTTACAGGATTTCAAGAAAGTCTGGATCCTTTGAATATAAGGTTTAAAACATGAAAATATGACGCAGTTTGTGTTTGCATCTAGACTTTTGCACAATGTGTCACTTCAATTCCTCACCTCATGTTTTCCAAAATCTATACCATCCAGAAGCCCTTTCTGTATTCAAATCTTACAGTTTAATCTAATAAAACCTTTATGTTTAAGAAAAATCCTCTTATTTTACATTGCGATCAATAGCTCGATATATTTTTAGTCAAGTCCTTCACTTCCTTGTCCACGGCAGTTTGTCCTCACAGAGAGCAAAGGAAGAGCTAAAAGCAATGACGATTCACATTTTAGTTTATCAGCTCAGATTTTAATCCCACTTTATAGATTTTTTCCCCACTGTTAGGTCAAACAAGAGTGGATGGAGAGGATGAGGATTAGAGCCAGCATGTATGTGATGGGGCCTGAGTGTGTGGGGGTGGGAGGGCAAGCAGACAGTCTGTAGGTTGGTGTTAAAACAGAATCATTTGCTGCACAAGCCTCACAGCTTCGCACATCAATCATCTGGCCCTTTGAGTTAGAATAAACAGCAGTTTCAAAGAAGCAGCAGCCCCAAACTGATTGTTGTGTGAGCCCTGCTGTTCGCCGTGATGACTGAAGAGAGGATGCAGATGCGTGTTGCTGTGTTTGTGCGTCTCAGGCTGCAGCAGAAAGCACTGATGACAAGTCTTTCATGGAGTGGGTCTGGTGGAGCCACTTTAAAAAAATCAAAGTCTGCATTTGCTTTCATTGTCTTGGCTTTGATCTGTAGAACAGATCATGGTCTGATAAAAGTTTCTTGTCTTTGCCTTACACAGACTTAAAGGTGCGCCTTTATGAAATAATGCTTTTGTTTCCAAGACTAATTAATGAATAGTCCGTTTTCTTTTTTTGTTTTGTATAATTAAAAACTCTTCCTATATTTTCTTTCTGGCAGCACGATAGCTCAGTGGTTAGCACTGTTGCCTCACAGCAAAAAGGTCCTTGGTTCAATTCCCGGTTGGGCCTGGGGTCTTTCTGTGTGACGTTTGCATGTTCTTCTCGTGCTTGTGTGGCTTTTCTCCGGTTTCCTCCCTCAAACCTAAAACATGCATGTTAGGCTGCCTTCAGGCCCAGACCTCCCTTGCAAAAGAGATCTGTGATCTCAATGGGATTTGCCTGGTTAAATAAAGGTTAATAATTCGTGTTTTGATGACCTTGAAGGCAACATGCCATGACCAAGATTAGGGCTCTCTTTTGTTTCTTCAGTTGTGTCAAAGCTGTGAGGTGTCCCCATTTTTATTTGGCATTTATTTAAAAAACAAACACAAGTTCTTAGCAAAAGCCATATTTGGGTCAGAACATGTAAAATTATCACTTCAAAAATCATGTGTCAGCACCTGCACCAACACATACATTCATTCATTACCTAATAATCTTATATTTGTTTTAGTTCATGTCACAACTCTCTGCTACAGTTGCACTAAAGTGTCTCTTATTTCTGTAACAGGGAGCCATTGGACCTGCTGGTGCTGCAGGAGCTCAGGGGCCCCCGGGCCTGCAGGGTATGCCTGGAGAGAGAGGAGGTGCTGGCATTCCAGGACCCAAAGGAGACAGAGTAAGCTATGATGGAACAGAGGTTTTTTTTTAATGAATATGTGTATATTAAATATGCAGAATTTTTAAAAAATATGCTCCAGTTTCACACATATTCTCTGTAAGTGATTGTTTTCTTTTGGTTAATCTGTGCAGGGTGACGTTGGAGAGAAGGGGCCTGAAGGTGCTCCCGGCAAAGATGGTGGCAGAGTGCGTGACAGCCTCTTATTTTAGATTTTATGAGAAACAATACAGACAATTTTTTTGTTCAAAATGTTTAATTATTGCAAATTTTGAATTTTAATGTAGGGTCTCACTGGTCCCATCGGTCCTCCTGGACCTTCTGGTCCAAACGGTGAGAAGGTGAGCGTTGTTCCTTTTCTCTGGAAATTGCATCCTAACTACAATCTGTCAATACTTAAGTGCAAGAATGTCACCGACTGCATATAAAAATGCTATTTTTAACTTGACATTTATCATTGCTGATGGCTCTGTGCTTCTTGTAGGGAGAATCTGGGCCTACTGGACCTTCTGGAGCTGCTGGTGTTCGCGGTGCTCCTGTAAGCTGATGTTTTATTGTTTAAGTAACTTTCATTTAACCAAAAAAACATTAATATTTTGTACAATATTTTAAAAAATGAGCATCTCATACCATGCTTATAAAAATAGTACTTGGTAAAATGCACAACTGGTCTTCATGCACAAACTATGTAACTTAATTAAATGTAAAGTTAGAAGATTATTTCTGACAACTAAAGTTCTTAACTGTACCTTTAATAAATCTAAAGGGTGTGCGGGCGGAGGTATGGTGGTGTGGTGATTTGTGTCATTGCCTCAAAATGAACAAGGTTCAGGTCTTTGTTGAAGTCTTCCTGAGTGGATATTGTGCTCTCTCTACACCTGGGTGGGTTTTATTTAGAGTACTCCAACTTCCTCGTGTCCCTAAAACATCCATGGTGATGTCTGTAAGTGTGCATAGTGGTACATATTGAATAAAGTACATTTTTACCATTGCAGCATTGCTCGTGCACAGATACAGACAAGTAGGAACAAAAACACAAACCTAAAGTTTGTACACTGAGGTGCAACAATAAGGACAAACCATTTGTATCTTAAGATAACAATCCTTATATTTTGACGTTTACAGCGTAATAAAAAAAGGTATGAAATACTTCAAAATATTTTTTCTTTCTAATTAATCAGTTCTTACAGAGACATTTTGAAAGTGATGGTTGAATAAAGCAGATGTTTTCTGAATTGAATTTATATGTTTATCATTTAACCTAAACGCTGTTTAATTTGCTCTATTTAACCTCCAGGGTGACAGAGGAGAGACTGGACCTCCTGGACCTGCTGGGTTTGCTGGACCTCCTGTAAGTTTGACTAAAAAAGAAAACTTAAAACAGCAATAAAATGTGATACATTGTGTTTCTGCTGATTGATAAAGCAGATAAATTAAAGCTAGTTTTAGTCCAGTCATAAATAATAAATACTTAAGTAATCTAAAAAAATGTGTTACTTTATTTATCCATGAAAAAAAGTGTTTAGACAATATTTAAAATGTTACAAGTGACAAACACTAAAAGCATTTTTTATATATGAAGCAGTATAAAAATAATCAAGGCCACACCAGTGAAGAAACCTCTTATTTCCTAAAATCTCTAAAACTGTTAAAAATTAAAATATTTCAGATTTGTAAGTCACTTACATCATTTATCAGAGTCAGAGATTCTTTATTGTCGTTCGCACAACATGTGGTACATGGGGTGGAACGAAATTATGTACACAGGGTCCCAGTTACATCCAACAATAAAATGTAAAAGAAAAACAATGATACCATTTAAGATATGAACTAAGAAAAACATCAACTAAAAATACACTAAGCACTAATAGCATAAAAACATTATGTCGAACAGCAGCACGAACATAAGAATGAGTCTGTGTGAGCAGATGAGTACCCATGAACACCTCAACATGAAACAGATCAGCAGTGACATTGAAACAGATCAGCAGCAGCATGATGTAATTTTTCACAGGGATTATTCTGGTTAGAGATTTGTGAGTCTAACAGCCTCAGGGTAGAAGATCTTCCTGAGTCTAGTGGTTCTACACTTAATGCTCCTCAACCTCCTTCCTGAGGGGAGCGGGGCAAAAAGTGTGTGTGCTGGGTGAGTGGGGTCCTTCATGATGCAGGTGGCGTACTTCCTGCATCTGGAGGTGTAAATGTCTGTGATGGAGGGGAGACTGACTCCAACAGACTTCTGTGCAGCATTCACCACTCTCTGCAAAGCTTTTCTTTCTGTAGCTGTGCAGCCTCCATGCCACACGTTGATGCTCGAGCACAGGATGCTCTCCACTGCACACCTGTAGAAGGAGGTGAGGACTGAGCTTCCCAGACCAGCTCGTCTCAGCCGCTTGAGGAAGTAGAGTCTCTGATGAGCTTTCTTGATCAGGCTGGTGGCGTTGTTGCTCCAGCTGATGTTGTCATTCATGTGTACACCCAAGTACTTGTAGTTGGAGACCACTTCCATCACAGATCCTCTTATGTTCAGGGGGATGTAGGTGTGTTAGTTCCTTCTGAAGTCCACAATTATCTCCTTTGTCTTTTTCACATTGATATGAAGGTTATTCTCTTTGCACCAGCTCTCCAGGTGTTCCACCTCTTGCCTTTAGCTGAACTCTTCATTGTTTGTGATGCATCCAACCTGTATCATCTGCAAACTTTATAATATGACAGCCTGGATGGGTAGCTGGCTGCACAATCATACGTGAGCAGAGTAAACAGGAGATGGCTCAACACATATCCCTGAGGAGAGCCAGTGCTGAGGGTTATGGTGGAGGAGGAGAAGTTGTGGATCCTCATTGACTGTGGTCTGTGTGTTAAGAAGTCTAGTACCCACTTGCAAATGGAGGGGCTTAGTCCTAGTAATAGTTTGTCCATCAGGGTTTGGGGGATCATGGTTCATTCATCATTTATACCTTCTTACAAGAAAAATGGCTTATTTTGGACTGACAGTTTATTTCCAAAGATACATAATATCCTAAAGAATTTTGAACTGGCCCAAAAAATTTTTGAAAAGTAAACAAAATCCAAAGAAAAGTTGAAAGATCTTCAGAAAACCTGGATCATGACCACTAGAAAAGATTACAAGAAAGGATTCTTGGATGAAGATCTGAAGAGATGAGGGGTGACTCGAAACTTTTGCACAGCGTTGTCCTGTTTGTCTTAAACTTGCACGGCAGCAGCAAAGCATCTTTATTCAGAAGTGTTCATGCACTGATTTGTTCTGCAGAACTTACTTTGTTTTACATTTCAGGCTGGGCTCTGTTAGATGACAGAGATTCAGTAAAGATTTTCCGCTCACCGTGTCGGTCGTTGTGCTCGAGTTTTCCATATAATTTCACCCTTTTGATGATTTTATGTGCTGTAGATAAGACGCTCAGTTTTTGTCCATGCAGTTTTCACCAAGGGCTAAACGTTTCTTTGTCATTTCTTATCATTTCTTAGTTCGGCTCACTGCTGTTTTGATATGTGTTGCTGGTAGAAACTCAAAACAATTAGTTTTGCTATTATGAAAAGCTGACATTTAAATTATTTTTTGTTCTATTTCTGGTCAAAATCACTGTTCAAATGATTCACTAAAGATCTTGTTTTATTGAGCCTTTTTCCAACTTTTTAAAAATGGTGTAGTATTCAATTCAGTATTTGTAGTTAAAGTATTGAGTACAAAATGAACATTACTCACAGAACTCCTGCAGAGATATTAGAAGAAAATATTAAAATATTCAGCTTTATGATCACTATGGTATTGAATTTGTTAAAGTATAAGTTCAAACTGAGTGAAAATTTTAAATTCAAAGAAATAACTTTAAGTGGATGTGAGTTGTTTTAATGCACCACCGATAACACGTATAATTTCAAACAAGGAACAGCTTACATGAAATCATTTTGTATATTTGTGTGAATGTTTATGAAGCATTCACACTATTGTGATGCATTTTTCGTCCTTACGTTTTTCAGCATCTTTCTCGTTCCACAATTTTTGTACTGTTTAAACAAATCATAAAACATCTAGCTCGTTCAGGAGAAGGGTGCTACAACTATTGGTGCAACTTTAGCTGTTTGAAATATTTAGCCTTTTTTGCCTTTTTTTTTTTTTCTCATGAACTGAGCTCATTTTCCATCCTTCAAATCTTTAGATCTGTTTACAACCTTTCACTGCTCCTTTCACATTTTGTTCTGGTTCAGCTTCCTTGTGCAAATTTACTCTTTCAGCTACTTTCAGCTGTTTTGTGATCCTTTTGGGTCCTTTCTGCTGACTACAACATTTTTGTGCTTCTTTTAATGTATTTCTGCTAATTTCAGCTTGTTATGCTCCTTTCATCTTATTTATGCAAGTTTCGACTTATTCTGCTATTCCAGCTACTATTTAACTGTTTTTATGCTAATTTTAGCTTTTTTGTCTAATTCCACATTTTTTTGCATAAATTTAAACTTTTTTCAGCCTAATTCAGCAAAAATGTGCTCTCTCCACTTTCTTCTGGTAACTTAAGCTTCTTTCTGCTCTTTCAGCTACTTTTCAGGTGATTATTTTAGCTAATTTCAACATTTTCCAGATAATTTCCACTTTTGTTTCTTTCAGGATAATTGGACAAACATGTTCTTTCTGCTTTCTTCTGCAATTTAAGCTTGTTTTACCTTTTTCAGCCAGCTTTTTAGCATTTTTAGCTTTTTTTTTTTTTTTTTGCTGTTTTCAGATAAAATCAAGTTTTTCATGTTAATTACTAATTAACTTCTTTATGCTAATTTCCGCTTGTTATGCTTTATTCAGCTTTTTTCTGCTAGTTTCAGCTTTTTCTGCTCTTTCTGCCACCATTCAGCTCTTTTGATGCTTGTGGCTTTTTCAGCTAATTCCACATTTTTAAGCTCATTTCAGCTCTTTCCACTTCCTTCTGGTAGTTTAATGTTTTTTCTGCCTATTCAGCTACTTTTCAGCTTTTTTGTGTGTGTGTGCTAATTTCAGCTTTTTAGCTAATTTCCTAATTTTTGTGCTAATTTATGCTTTTTTTTTTAAAACTTAATTCAGAAAATATGTGTTGCTTATGCTTTCTTCTGCTAATTTAGTCTTGTTCTTCCATTTCAGCTACGCTTCAGAATGTTTTATCTAATTTCAGCTGTTTCTCAGCAAGTTCTTCTACATTAAGCATTCACACTGCATTTTTTTTTTTTTGCAGGAAATGCAATTTCTCGTGTTTTTTTTTAACTTTCAGATTAAGCTTAGCTTTTTTAATTTACCTACAGAAAAAGAAGAAACTTGGAGCAACGTCATCGAGCATGCACATTTTGTTTTGAACAGTAAAACATTCAAAAGAATGAACAATAATCATTGTACCAAAACACATGAAGTTTACAGTGAAACAATGTAATGTTCATTTCATTTAAAAGAAAAGCATAAAACCCAAAGAATGTGTTTATTCATATAAACATCAGGAGCCAGCTTAAATATGTTTTACTTTGTTAAAAAGAAGCACAAAATGACAGAAATCTAGCAGAAATCAATCATCACTTTGAAATTAAACTTTATTTGTCCCTGTTTTAAACTTCCATCAGTTCATTATTCTGTCATGTTTCCTTGGTGGATAATTGTAGAAACATATTAGTTTGTAGACTGTCAGAAACCGTAGCATCTTCAGTTCATTTCCCAAGGTCTCCAGACAGATATCAAACAGATGGTTTTCATAAACCACATCCTTCCAAATGAGTTTCATCAATTTGTTTCTTACAACAAAATTGATGTCTGGACTTTTTTCCCTTCAGGTTACACCATGATTAATTATAGATTTTGTGTCAAGGTGGATACCACTACAACATCTGTAAATATATAAACAAATACAGTTCACAACTTACTGTAACATCACATCGTGTCACGACACAGACTGATAACAAACACGCATGCCGCTGAAATCAGCAGCAGCTTTACTGGAGCCTGAGTTGGTTTTACTGGAAGTCAAAATATCAGTCAAGTTCTCTGTCAAATAAAAATAAAATAAACACATATACACATTTTTAAATGAAGTTCTTGAATTTATCTACTTAACTCTGCTGTAAAAAAATCCCTTCAAGTCCTTAAAAACTAACCTGTACAAAGCTCAAGATGAAAATTATCAATAATTTTATTTTCTATTAACATGATCAAGTCGAAACACTAAAGCAGTACACGCATGGAGGTTTTAACTAATTGAGACATGTAACTCAGTAAAAACTCGTGTTTGTGTTTTTCTTTCAGGGTGCTGATGGTCAGCCTGGAACCAAGGGAGAGCAGGGAGAGTCTGGACAGAAGGGAGATGCTGGTGCCCCTGGACCCCAAGGACCATCTGGTGCCCCTGGACCTGCAGTAAGTGTCATTGTTGTATTTATCTGTGCAGCAAAGCTGCGAAACACTAAATGTTTTTGTTAGTTGTGTCTTAACCACAGATAGGGATGGCATATATGAAATGAAAGAAGTGCTGTTCAGTTTGTGTTTTAATGAAAAGGACATTTTGTATAATATATATATCAAATGATTGACATTTCACTGCAGAAAGAACATGTTTTTTTTGTACAGTTCAGTAGAAACTTTCGTTTTATGTCCGTGTTGAACATTTATGGATTTAAGAGCAGGTCACAGTGACAGCTGAGCTTGTCACTGATTGTGCAGCACAAGGCAGAATAAAAGATTAGCTTCAAAAACACATAAACCAGAAACCTAAAGGTCACGTTGTAATGCACTGAATGTTTGCTGTTTCAGGGTCCTACAGGAGTTTCTGGACCTAAAGGTGCTCGTGGTGCTCAGGGACCTCCTGTGAGTGATCTTTTGCCTTTATTGTATTAAGTGTCTCACATTTAATTATTGGATGCTGCTAAACTGTTTTACTTTTGGGCTGGTGCTGTTTGGATCCGCTGTTTTGCAAAGTATTATTTTGTTTTTGCTTAAATTAATCTTTTCTCTGTTAGGGTGCTACTGGTTTCCCAGGAGCTGCTGGCCGAGTTGGACCTCCTGGTCCCAATGTAAGTTCAGCGTCCACTTGCATCCATACAATTGAGTTGACACTTAAAAACATTATTCCATATGTTTGAATCAAAAAACTAACAAACATTGTAATAAACATAGTTTAGTTTGCAGCCAATGGTTTTTTTTTTTTTAAATGCCACCCAATTTATAGAAAATGTAAATCATTCACCCCACAACGTCTGCACCCCCACGTTCCCAAAGCAATTTGTATGACACAGCAGGATGCTGTTTGGAATATTACCATTTAACCTAAAAGAAGGACAGCATGTCAAAAATCTGATGCAGGTAAATAAATGTGTTGTCAGGAAGTATTTGGAGCCATAAGATAAAAAAATGCACCCCCTTGTTTTGATATTCTTTTTGAGTCCACTTAAAATAAACATATTTTTTTATATTATATATTTCTAATAATTCAACATTTTATATGACTTTTATGTGTGTCTGCTTATTAGGGTAATCCTGGACCTTCTGGTCCTGCCGGGCCTCCTGGTAAAGATGGACCCAAAGGTGTAAGAGGAGATTCTGGACCTCCAGGAAGACAGGGTGACGCTGGGCTTCGTGGTTCTGCGGGAACTCCTGGAGAGAAAGGAGACGCTGGAGAGGATGGTCCTCCTGTGAGTAAAGCACCCAACACAGAGAGCTTTCACATAATCTGAAACTTTGTGACCTTCTTGAGCTTAAAAGTATTTGGTTTCTGAAACACCCATAAACCATTGCATACAGGTGTTTGTTTAAAAATGAAGACCTTGATTATTATTATTTTTTACCTGGATTACTGCGCATGAACTTTGGTGTTTTGAACCACTTTGGCATGTCTGCCTCAGAGGTGTTGACGGAGGAGAGGGCATCTTATCACCAGCAAAATGTTTTGTTTTTTTTCCACTATGGGAGCGAGTTGTTTGTGGAACTTAGTTTGTTTGGTGGCAGATTGAAGAAGTCCTTTGGATGAAGGACGAAATATCTCAGCAAAGTAAAGAAACCATCCAGATGACCAGACTGAACATTGTTGGATTTTGACCTGGATTATTGAGCATGAACTTTGGTGTTTACCCAGAGATGCTGTGTGTTGAATGTTTTTATTTTTATTTATTTATTGTATCTTATATTTATAGCCCCTTTAGTGTATTTATTTCAACCTAGAGAGTCATTTTTAGCAGTAATGGACCCAGTAGCCATTGACATAGAGCTGTCAGTATCCATCTCTAATAGCAGACTAAGACATATGACGATGCTGAGCAACACAACCCAGAGACAGTCTGATGATGGGACTCCAGGCTTTTACCCTCCCACCACTCAGAGTCACACACCAGTCATAAATACATGACGAGTCCTGTCAGGATAATGACAGCCCATGCCACAGAGGATCACCGTCTCCAACACTAAGGCAGCTGCTGTGTTTCTTCTTCCTATAGATTTCATCCTGTGTATAAAGTCTCGACTCTTGTTTTATCACATAAGAGCCTTTGTCTGCCTACTGCGTGTCCAAGCCGTCACTTAGAGTCAGGTGTTCATTGTGAACACGGTTTCAGGAAACAGCGAGACATTTTGACAGAGCAAGATGAGGTGAGGATGATGCAGAACAGAAAGCTGATGGAGAAATTCATTCTGATACCACGACTGGGAATAAAATGTGCAGAAAGTGACAGAAAATATATCACAGTTTCATTTTTACAATTGTTAAAACAAAAAGTATGTGGCTTCTTTTAAAGTGCTAAATAGTCCAAATAAATAAATATCACCTTACCGTACTGGTAATTGGGTTTTCTGCTGTTTGCTTTCCCCCTCAGGGTCCACCAGGTCCCTCAGGTCCTCAGGGATTGGCTGGTCAGCGCGGTATTGTTGGTCTGCCTGGACAGCGAGGTGAAAGAGGCTTCCCTGGTCTGCCTGGACCTTCTGTAAGTAACATTGTGTTGTCTGTTCATGTAACAAGTCCAATTCATTGGCCAGTTTGTCAGTTTCCCCCTCTTCATTGATAAATAATTTGATTAACAGATTCATTTTTAACAGATCATATAAAAATATCCCAGTCCTAAATTCTAATACCTTGTTATGACATCCTCTAATTAAATGTTTTATTCAAAAACATGGTGATAAACAACAGACTCTGTTCAAGTTCAAGTTCAAGTAGGTTTTATTATCATTCACATCACATGTGGTACATGAGGTGGAACGAAATTGTGTACACAGGGTCCTAGTTACATCCAACTACAGCAAAAATATAAATTGTGAAAAGAAACTGTAATAAGGATCTAAGATATAAACTAAGAAATATTAAACACAAATAGTGCAAAACAATATGCCGAACAACAGCAGCACCAACATGAGTCTGCATGAGCAGGTGAGTATGAATGAACACAGCAGCATGAAATAAATCAGCAGCACGAGATCAGCAGCATGAGATCAGCAGCATGGATAATCAGCAGCACAGCTATGATAATCAAGATAATTAAGAATCTAGAAACAACTGTGAGAGAAAAAAACCCAGCAGGATCAGAGAGAACAGACTAAAAACACAAAAACAGAACTCAGAACTACAAAACCCAGATACTACAGCAACTGTACAAAACTGAGAATGTTTAGAAATTTGATTGAACACATTCAAACTTAGCCCTCACGTTACTTTGTGCTGCACATGGGTTATGTTTTGTGACTGTATCTTGTTTAATTGGTGTCTGGACAGAGATGCACGACATTGGATTTTTGGCCGATATCCGATATGCCAATATGTTAAAACTTATTTGGCCGATACCGATATTTTTCTATACTTCCACTTGTCAGAACATAGCCCTCTTATTTAGGCTTATTTGCTACAAAAAATGTGCAGCAGTTGTAAGAGCTGGTGGCATGTATTCAGTAACAGCCATAAAGCACTTTTACTTATATTAAATGGAAAGTGTTAAATGTTATTTATTAGCATTAGTCACCTGTGATGCTGTCTCACTTGTGGAGGCTTGTTCCAGGTTCCTATAGCTGCAGTGTGGGATCCTCTGCACTCCAGTGCATGAAGGACAGCCTTTTTAAGTTCAAAGTTTTTGTCTATCCATTGTGTCGTAAGACTTAATCATGCTAACGGGGCTAACACTTGATGTCCAAATATGTGTTGTAAAAATCACCCAAGTGCTATCGTCCATTAACTTCTCAATGACGTCGTAAATGACGGCTTGTAACTCGGGTAAGGCTACATTGAAAAAATATCTCTGACTGGGGACAATGTAGCGAGGATTAATGTAGTCCAAAAATCTTCGTATTCCAATATCCTCAACCAAAAAAAAAGGCTTCCACACCGTGGATATTTTGACTTCTTCCTCTCCGTCATGATCAGATCAGGTAGGCGCGTGTGACATCATCACGTTGTGCTGGTGCTGCAGGCGTCCTTGTCACTGGGTTGTCATATAAAAACAACGTTTTTTATATCGGTGAGTTATTTTGATGGAATGGCTGATGTCCGATATTTCACTTAAATGCTAATATCGGCCGATACCGATACCATGCCGATAATATCGTGCATCCCTACTTGATAATGTACAAGACAAAAGTATGATGACATAAATATGATTAGCTGACATTTTTTGAACAGTAATTGATTTATAAGGGATGGGGAGGGCAATTTTTGTGGTAAAAATAGCATCGTATTGCTGCTTTTTTATCCTGAAATTGTCTACTGCAAGTCATAAAATATGGCGCTTTGTAGATACACTTTCATTGCACTATATTTGTTTTTATCTAACGTTGTCAAACAAAATGTAAATTAGAAATGTTGCTTGTATCATATAAAGGTGGTAAAAATAAAGTAAATAAAAATGGGGATAATAATTGTAATTGTTTCAGCAAAATTTCCACTTTGAGCTATAAACAAATGTTTCTCTCAGATTTATTTAACCAAACGCTCCTTGAGTTCTGATTGTTTCTGACAGAAACTGTTCAGACGTATAAAAAAACAACTCCCAAACTCATTTGCAGTGGCTTCTGCCTGAGTGTGTGTGTCTTTTTGAACACATTTTGTCTGAGTGACACAAACACAAGCGGACAGGCAGATTCAGACGGTGAAAACACAACCAGCCCTGCTGCTGCTGCTCAGAATAAATATACATGAACCTGCCGTATAAGCACAATGCTCTGTTTTGTCACTCAGTAAAGTAAATGTGGACAACTAGCAGACATGCTCCAGACTGACATTCTGCTGTGTCCTCCTTTTATTCAAAAATCAAAACACATCTCACGTTAAAATACAATATGGTATAAAAAATAAAATTAAAAACAGCTTCCTCTGCTTGCTTGATATGTGACATGACCACGTTTCTTATTTACACCATGTCAGTGGGCATGTCCTTAACATCAGTTATTCACCAAACCATCTTTATTATGGATGAAAGAAATGAGCAGTGGAAGTAAACTCACATAGGAATAAGATTTTAATAAGGTTACTAAATTGTAAATTCAGTTTGTGTAATTAGTTTTTGATTTACATTGAGAATATATAATCATGACATAAATACAAGTAACCTAAAGTATAAATTTAATATGCATAAATAATGTGTAAAGTAGTGTGATTGTTTAAATAAAAGCTGATCATCTGGCTTGGTCAAGCAGGAGTTAATCATATAAGTGGATCAACGTATCTGCAGATATGTATCTAATGATGATTACTAGAGTTTCTGTTTACTGGGACAAAAGCATGAAGTGATACTTCAAACTACTCACCAGTTCTGGTTTTTATCAGGTTTTTTTTGTTTGTTTGTTTTTTTTAGAGAAATTAGAGATTCAAAATTCAAACTGTTACAGAAACTTACTAAAGTTATTATTTAAAATACTTTGCGTTTAAAAGCTTGGATTTTAAGATGTGGACTTACTGTCCAAAAATGTGAACTTTTTTTTTTTTTTTTACATAAAATACTTTTAGTGTTCAGAAAATATATATAATGTATTTTTCAGACTATAAGGCGCACCGGATTAAAAGGTGTCATATCAATGAACGGGTCTGTTTTCATACATAAGGTGCATTAAGCGAAACAAAACAATCAGATAAGTCAAACTTTTTTCAACTCTTTCACAGTAACTCTCAACATTATTCAGTTGTACCACATAAAATTGATTCGAGGTCAGTAAGCACAACCAGAACTAGTACATAAGGCACACTGGATTATAAGGTTCACTGTCGATTTTTGAGAACATTAAAGGATTTTAAGTGTGCCTTATAGTCCGAAAAATGCGGTATATGTATATATATATATATATATATATATATATATATATATATATATATATATATATATATATATAACTTTGAATATTCAGATTGTTTTGTTTGGCCTGTTGATTTTTTTTTTTTCATCTGATTATAAACAGCCACATGTGTCAGCAAATTTCATTTACCTGGATTTTATGGTGAATATACAGGACAACCCCTGAAGCGGTAGTGCATGCGAATCAAAGTAGGATTTGTGTCTTTTTGTCAAAATCTAATGATGAGTTCTCTTCTTTCCCCTCAGGGTGAACCTGGCAAGCAAGGAGCTACTGGTGGTGCTGGAGACCGTGGACCCCCTGGACCTGTTGGACCTCCTGGACTCACTGGACCTGCAGGGGAACTTGGCAGAGAGGTCAGAAAATGACTAAAACATATATTGTGATTCATGTATTTTTTATTGTGCAGCTGCTACATCTAGTCCAATTTCAGTTCCACAGCAGGCCCTTAAAATACTGGTTTGCATCACACATCCATTTTCATTGTGTTTACACCAAATTATTAATGTGCTTGGTTGTAGCGGGCTTCATTATGCAGCTGATTTCTATTCAGTAGGACATCTGGCGAGGTACAGGTGCATACAAGAAAGGCTTTATGTTTGTCTGATGTCTGACAGGGTAACCCTGGCTCTGACGGACCTCCGGGTAGAGATGGAGCTGCTGGAATCAAGGTGAGAAACAGCGTCGAATCCACCATGATATATGAAGCTGATGTACACAGATCAGCCATAAAATTATGACTCTGCTGGCAATGAAAAAATCCCTCTTTGTTCTCTAAAATAAGTCTGATTGGTAAAAGCATGGGGGGGAACCTCTTGAGGGTGCCCTGAAGATGTGAGTTGTGAGGCAGTATATCTGTGGGCTGGACTTGGTTCCCATAGATACAATAAGAGCCAGTAAGATCAGTATCTGGGAGATTTAGAGGTTTGACAGAAACTTAAAACTGTTTTTTTGTTCTTTGAGTCAAGATGAGAGTCTGCGATGAAGTTAAACACAAAGCAGTCTGCTCCTCAGATAAATAATGTTATTAACTTACTTTTTATGTATATGGATGTTTCTGTTCACTGCCCTGAGATGACTCCTGGTGTGACTTGGTGCTATATAAATAAACTGAATTGAATTAAGTGTTTTCTACAATGTTTGGCTCAGCACGTTGCTGTCCTGCTGGAGGGATGGAGGCGCTGCTACTGTAAAGAAACAATTTGCTGCCATGTGGGGGGTGTGATTGTACTTCAACTGAGCTGAAAATTAACATATATATATATATATATAAGCAATTGAAGTTTAAAATAATATCCAGGTTTTTCGAGCAGAACACTGAGTTATATCAAGATGAGCTGTGTGGCTCAGTTGACCTGTCAGTGGTTATAATGTTTTGGCTGATCTGTGACCATTCACCATTGAATATGGTTCATATGCAGAACTGAAATGTTTCCCAGTAAATTTCCAAACAGTGTCAGTTTTAAACAATGTTCAATGCTGAGAAATAAATGTCAATGCTATCAACGGGCATTCACCATCCATCCATCCATTATCTTTACCCGCTTATTCCATTTTGGGTCACCGGGGTCGCTGGTGCCCATGTCCAGCAATCACTGTGCGAGGGGCGGAGTACACCCTGGACGGGTCTCAAGTCCATCACAGGGACACATAGAGACAAACGAGACAAACAAACATTCACTCTCTCACTCACACCTAGGGACAATTTAGTTACCAATCAGCCTAACATGCATGTTTTTGGACTGTGGGAGGAAACCAGAGCACCCGGAGAAAACCCACGCATGCACGGAGAGAACATGCAAACTCCACCCAAAAAGGCCCCTGGACCGGGGTTTGAACCAGGGACCTGCTCGCTGAGAGGCAGCAGCTCTACCAGTTGCGCCACCGTGCTGCCACATGGGCATTCACATTTAGTTATGTTTCTTTTGCTAAATGCTGCCAGTATTAATTAACGTTTTAATCCTTTAGTAGCCGCAGACCCTTGTGAACATTAAATACATTTCGTATTGATGAATTTGAATCATACATGTGCAATACATGGCCTTAAATAGAAAACGTCAATTAACTGACTTTCTGCTTCATACTTTGATGTGTGCTCACACTATGTAAAGAGCAAAGATTGTGGTAAATATAAATTCACTTTTGTCTTTGTCGTGCTCTTTTTTCTGCAGGGCGATCGTGGTAACACTGGTCCTGCAGGTGCTCCAGGTGCTCCTGGTGCTCCTGGTGCTCCAGGTCCAGTGGGACCCACCGGCAAGCAGGGAGACAGAGGAGAGTCTGTGAGTAACGACTAACACTGGGAAGCATGTCATTTTTAGTCTGTATCTAATATACAAAAAGTTTAAAATGCACTAAAGATTAAAGTGTTTATGGCACTTGAAATAAGACACATTTTATGCTCACTGATAATTAGCATATGACCTGATAACAAATAGAGAGAAGGATTTCTCCAGTGTTTTATCTCTAACAGGCTTTTTATTACAGAGAAAATTAAACTGTTTTTCTTTTCTCTGTTCTTTTCTCTTTTTATTCATATTTTTAATTAAAAGTTTACCATTTCAACCTCATTTAACTTTAAAATGTGCAGTTCTTACAGTCTATGTGTCATACTGTATGTGGATAATCTGTTGAAAAGTCCACAATCTTATTTCGTCTTATTTCGTAGGGTGCACAAGGACCTGCTGGGTCTCCAGGTCCTGCTGGAGCCAGGGGAATGCCTGTACGTGAACACTAACATTAATTTAACTATTGTCTGGCTGTCATCAAGCTATAAAAATGACACTCAATAGTCATTCAAAATGTTTTACCATCTGTTTTCAGGGACCCCAAGGACCTCGTGGTGACAAGGGAGAGGCTGGAGAGTCTGGTGAGAGAGGACAGAAAGGACACAGAGGTTTTACTGGACTGCAGGGTCTCCCTGGACCCCCGGTAAGAAACCAGATTCACTAAGATCTCCTAATCCAGTGGTTTGGCTTGTATTGTTTCAGTGTATTTTTCCCCGTGTCATCAATATCTGATGTTCACTTTGCTTTCTCTGCATTAGGGTCAGTCTGGAGACCAGGGCGCTACTGGACCTGCTGGACCTGCTGGACAAAGAGTGAGTACAAAGAGAATCAAAATACTCAACAGTACTTAAAATAATAATAATAATGGGAATACCAAGCCAAAGTATGCATTTTTATTGCCATTCAGCATCAGGGTGGTGTTCTTTTAATTTGTCACCTCATAGAATTTGATTTTATCTTTATTTTTTAGCCACACATTTCATTTTTGTTTGTACACTTTGACACTTTTATTTTCTGTTTGTTTGTTTTTTGTAGGGCCCACCTGGACCTGTTGGCCCTGGTGGAAAGGATGGTTCATTTGGTCAGCCAGGACCCATCGGTCCTCCAGGACCTCGTGGTCGCTCTGGAGAAAGTGGCCCTGCTGTGAGTACCTATGGGAACTGTTAAAATGATCCTCCTTTAAAACCAGACTAGAACTGATGCTAGTCTGTTATAGAAAATATAGCTGGAGATGTAATTTATACAACACTTTGACACAAAGCTCAATATAAAGAGAGTCATCAAGGCTGCGGAAATTAGTTTGACTTTCCATGAATAGCGCCATAAATACAAGGTTTGCTGTAAAACCATGCACATCTAATCTGAGCTCTCTGTTTTGTCTCTCAGGGTCCACCTGGAAACCCTGGACCCCCTGGTCCACCCGGTCCTCCCGGCCCTGGTATTGACATGTCTGCCTTTGCTGGTCTTGGTCAAACCGAGAAGTCGCCCGATCCTCTCAGGTACATGAGGGCTGACCAGGCTGCTGGAAATCTCCGTCAGCACGACGCCGAGGTTGACGCCACGCTCAAAACTCTCAACAACCAGATTGAAAACATCCGTAGCCCGGAGGGATCCAAGAAGAACCCCGCTCGCACCTGCAGAGACCTGAAGCTGTGCCACCCTGACTGGAAGAGCGGTGAGTGACAGAGGGAGAAATTGGTTGAATTGGGGTGAGATAATGAAGCAGATGTGCTAGACTGAGATTTTGAGTTTTAGGAAGCAATTCAAACCTAGTTTACCTTGTCTGAAAATGTTTGGTTTGGTGGTGGGGGGGGGGGTATTTTTAAAGTAATAAAACAGTGTGTTAATAGGAACCATCCTCTCTTCAAACAGCTGTGGAGAGTCATTTGAAGGAACAATGTCATGTGTTTGATTTTGTTTTGTTTTTTTCTCTCTCTGTTTGTAGGCGAGTACTGGATTGATCCTAATCAGGGCTGCACTGTAGATGCAATCAAGGTCTTCTGCAACATGGAGACAGGAGAGTCCTGCGTCTACCCCAAACCTGCCAAAGTCCCTCGCAAGAACTGGTGGTCCAGCAAGAGCAAAGACCGCAAACACGTCTGGTTTGGCGAGACAATGAATGGAGGATTCCAAGTGAGTCAGCGCAAAAACAAATAAAAACAATTAAATCTTGCTTCCATTTAAAGATCTGAAAAGGCTCAACACTTGTGAAAAAAGTTTTAACCACGTTTTTGTTTTCCATCGATTACAGTTCAGTTATGGTGACGACAGCCTGGCGCCCAACACTGCTGCCATTCAGATGACGTTCCTGAGACTTTTGTCCACAGAGGCGTCACAAAATCTCACTTACCACTGCAAGAACAGCGTGGCCTACATGGACGCTTCAACTGGCAACCTGAAGAAGGCCGTGCTGCTGCAGGGCTCCAACGACGTGGAGATCAGAGCCGAGGGCAACAGCCGCTTCACCTACAGCGTCATGGAGGACGGATGCTCGGTAGGCAATACTACACACACACACATGTAATAGTTTAAATGGGGCTTTTTTTCATATCTGATCATGTGTGAATGCTTGTCAAGCATTCTTTATTAAGCATTCACTTCTTAAGCATTCAAATGTTTTTAAATGCTTATTAAGAATTCACACTATTGTGATCCTGTTGATATTATTATTCCAACTTCCAGTTACTTAAGACTATTCTGTAAATTTTTTTGCATCTATCTCGTGCCACAATTTTTGTACTATTTCAACAGATCATATCAAAACATTCAGCTGTTTCAGAACAATGCTACTTTTGGTGTTGGTGCAACTTTAGCTTTTTGAAATATTTAGCATTTTCTGCCATTTTTCTCTCATATAAAATGAATTGAGCTCATTTTAAACCCTTAATTTCTTTAGATCTGTTTACAACATTTTACTGCTCCTTTCACATTTTGTGGCTTCTTTCAGCTTCCTTGTGCAATTTAAAAAAAATGCTACTTTCAGCTAATTTCAGCTGTTTTTTTCAGCTGTTTTTGTGCTCCTTTCAGATTCTTTCTGCTAACTACAAAATGTCTGTGCTTCTTCTAACTTCTTTCTGCTAATTTCAGCTTGTTAAGCTCTTTTCAGCGTATTTCTGCAAGCTTAAACTGTTTCTGCTATTTCAGCTACAATTTAGCTGTTTTATGCTAATTTGAGCTTTTTCAGCTAATTCCACATTTTTTTTGCACTAATTTCAGCTTTTTAGAGCCTACTTCAGCAAAAAATTGTTCTCTTTACTTCATTCTGGTAATTTAAGCTTTTTTCCTGCTTTTTAGCTACTGTTCAGCTGTTTGGTTTTTTGCTCATTACTGCTTGTTTCAGATAACTTCCACTTTTTTGTGCTAATTTCTGCTTCATTGGGCTGAATTGGGCACAGTTGTGCTCTTTCTCCTTGTTTCTGGTAATTTAAGCATCGTTCTGCCTTTTTAGCTACTATTCAGCTGTTTGTTTTGTTGTTTGTTTGTTGTTTGGTAAATTGCAGTTTTTTTCCACATAACTTTCACATTTTGGTGCTCATTTCGTTCTGCCTAATTCGACAAACTTGTGCTCTTTCTGCCTGATTCTGGTAATTTTAGCCTCTTCCTGCTTTTTTAGCTACTGTTCAGCTGTTTTTTTTTTTTTTTTTTTTTTTTTTTTTTTTGCTTCTTTCAGATGATTTGTGCTCATTTCTGCTTCTTTCAGCCTGATGGGGCAAACTTGTGCTTTTTCAGCTTGATTCTGCAAATTTAAGCTTCTTTCTCCTATTTTTAGCTACTTTTCAGCTTCTTTTTTGCCAATTACTGCTTTTTTCAGATAATTTCTTACTTTTTGTACTAGTTTCAGCTTGCTTAAACTTAATTCAGCAAACATGTTTACTTTCTTCTTCCTTCTACTAACTTAGGCTTGTTCTTCCATGTCAGCTACATTTTAGCATATTTCATCTAATTTCAGCTGTTTTTTAGCAGGTTCTTCAGCAATAAGCATTCAGCATTTATGCAGTAAATGCAGTTTCTCTAGTTAAAGGGTAAAATCATCTAAAATTCTGCAATTAGAAAGAAGTCAAAGATGATCTAACCACAGCTGTGAAATATTTCTCTTCTAAACAGAGACACACAGGACACTGGGGCAAGACAGTGATCGAATACAGGTCGCAGAAGACCTCTCGCCTGCCCCTTGTGGACATTGCCCCCATGGATATTGGTGGAGCAGACCAGGAGTTTGGAGTCGACGTCGGGCCAGTCTGTTTCTTGTAAAAGCACAAGTAGTCAAACAAGAGAAAGAAGAAGTGGAAATTTTAGGAAAGAATAAATAAAAAATAAAGAATCAGAAGCACGCTTCAGAAAAAGGACAGAAAGAGAGAAAAAGAAAAATTGAGACACTTTTATTGTCAATGGGACTCTTTTCTAAGTAAAGTGTTTTTATTTCAAGTCGAACTCCGTAGGATTTATGCACTGAATGGCACCAGCAACTGTCATTTGTGATTCATCCAACTTTTGCCTTCAGTCTGCTTTCCCTCCCCTCATGGACAACTTCTATTCCCTTTAAGAACTCTATTTTCGCCCAGCAACAACCCCCTCCCCCCCATCTAGTCTATATCGTTGGAACAAAAAGCAGGACGTATGAGGAGAGTAAAGGAACATACCTGAGAACAAGAGAGAGTACAGTGTGTTGGTGCTAATTATTTATTGTTTCGGTTTGGATCTCAGGTATGAGAGGACTGAGTTTGTTGCAAAGTAATTAAAAAATAAAACTGCCTACATTTATTTAAGATGAAAAAAATTATCTACCTTCTTCCTCGCTTACTTCCTCCTCTTTTCTAATCATCCCATCACTTTTGTGTCACATCCACTAAAAAATGTATTTGTTTGAAACCAAAAATCCAACTATGTACTGTAGAGAGTGCAGGTGTTCCTATTTCAGCTGCCACAATGTGCATCAAAAATTAATGTGTATTATAATAAAGTCAATGGTGCTATTGTTGTAAAACCATTTGTATTTTTTTTACCTAACAGAAACACACAAATAGTGACTTGTATATATGTATATATATGTATATGTGTGTATACATATATATACAGTTTCTTTAAGAGGATTTCACCCTGGGAGTTTTGAATTTAACTACGGCAAATGTCCAAACTTGAACTCGTTCTGCATTCATTCTATTTTTAATGACTAAAAGTGCACCTGAATAGTGTTTACAATTAAATCAATTAGGAACAAATTTACTTTGTTTTGTTGTTTCTCTAACTTTTTTCCCTTTTTTAATCTACCTCACAATTAAAGAACAAATAAAAACAATGATCCATCTAAACTTTTATTCCCTGCCAATTTCCTCATAAGTTCCCTATTTTTGAGCATATTGACATCTATGGTTTGTTGTGAAGCCCAGTCTGCTGCCCCACGTTTGCTGTGACACCCCCACCATCTGTCTCTATTCCCTTCTATCAGTCTCCTCACACAGCTCTGCCCTCTGTTCTCGCACAAACACACACACACACACACACACACACACACAGAGAAAGGATTTTTCAGGTGTGTTTGATTGATGTTCCAAAGCCAGCGCAGAGGGCTCATTTGTGTGAGGTTGTGTATATTTTTTATTATTAATAATAGTATTATTATTAATAATAATAGCATTATTATAGTATTATTATTATTATGATCTTGACTTGTTTTTTGTTACATTTTAATTAATGTAAATTGGAAATAAAAGACAAAAACGTAAAAACTTGAAGTTGTGTTTTCTTTAAAGTTCTGGCTTGTTTCACACTTGCTGCTGAAGTATTTTGGGGAGTTTGGATCATTTTAATAAAATAAAATACACACACACGTAACTGTTTTGCTGTACCTTGCTTCTATTTTATGTTTGGCTCAGTTTGTAAAACAAAACAAGCAGAAAAATTATTTTAAAAAGACCCATTTTGATTTTGCTTTTATAATAAAATGGAGGTGATGCAAGTTGTTGAAAATATATTTTCACATGAGACCCTTAAAGAAATGTGAAACACTACCAAATGGTTAAATTAGTGAACTGAAAATGTTTTCCTGCCAATTTATTATTTTAAGGTTGGGATTTAACAACATGAACCATGAAGAAAAAAAAATAATAATCAACTGATTCTTAAATTACAGCCTCTGTGACATTTAATACAGCCCCACTCTCTGACAATTGCACAACACTTTACTGTTAATCCTAATGCGAAGTATGTTCTGTTCTAGTACATATCACAATCACAGACAATTGCACATTATTTTATTACATAGTAAACATACAACAAAGTTGTGTTAGTGGCTCTGTGATGATATGTTTTAATGTTTTAGTTAGTTTGATTTCTTTTTTGCTTAGGGATGGCATTAGAGAAAAATGTAAATAATTTCAGTTTTTTTATATATATATATTGCAGAATAAATGTCAGTATTTTCAATGAATTTGATGGCAAACAACTACTGACAACATTAAGCCTTACACCCACACAGTTTAAAATAAATAAATAAAAATCAGAGAAAAATTAGTTATTTCTTAATTTAGATTGGGAACTATCACAAAAAAAATCCTTGTCCATTTGGCCCACTGTAGTCTACAAAAATCAAATAATTCATTTGTTTCTCCTCAAAGATTACATCTAGGGGGATTACTAAATAGCAATATTAAGAACTAGTGATAAAAAAAAATGATTACTTCCTCCCATGAAAGGCTGACGTAATCCCATGTTTGTACGTATATGTCTGTCCATGAGCACAACTCATGAACCACTGGACACATTTTGACAAAAAACTTAGAAAATAATCATTGCATGTAGATTTGCAATTGGAGTGAACTCTCTTAATCCAACTTATCAAACCCTAAATTGTCTATAACTCAGTCATTTTTACAGACATTGAGCTAAAGTTTGGTGTGGTAGTAGCTGAGACTCCTCAGCAACACACTTTAAATGTACTAACAGATCACACATAACACATTTGTTTCAATTGGCATTCAAAGCAGTGGGCGATATGAACCACTGTTCTAGAAACCTTTTTTTAATGCAAATTAAGAGGCATTTTATAGACTTCCTAATATAGACTAAAATGACATACAAAAATATCATGTAAACCTTTTCCTTAACTGACTCAGCAGTTATTTTATAAGTAAATATGATTAAACAAAATCAATTTAAACACCAAACGTGGCTGTTAATCCAGTCAGAACTGAATCCATGTTTGCAGAACACAGAGGAACAATATTCACAGCACACACATCAAGAACAACATGAATTCATTTTAACATTACAAGAAATAAACATTCTAAAAGGACAAATGATGCATTCGTATCAAATTATGAGATTATTTTTTATTGGCTGCAGAAATAGGTTCCATTATGATGGAGTGAAAATAGGACGACCGAAAAAAGAAACAACTCAGACATTAACTAACAGCTTTACTCTGAGTCGATGGCAACGCAAATCTATCTTTACAATGGAATTACATTTCTTTGCACCAGTCAATAACATCTATATGTATATGAAACCGTGCAGATATTTTCAGAGCTGAGTGCTGCAGAGCGGAGACAAAGTAATTCACTTCCAGCTCTACTGGCTTTCTGGGAGTAAATTTAGATCAGCAGTTTTCCAATGGAAATACAAACACGACAGACGGACCGTTCCATGACAAAGGCTTAAATAGTGCTAAATCAAGGTAATCAAAGTTAAAAATGGTCGTTGCAATCCATTAAAGAACCATATGTGCCCACGTGTGTGCATTAAAAAAAGACAAAAAGAGTCTGAAATCACACTGATTGTTGTCGTTTTTAAGTGTCCATTAGGGATCCGCTGCTTAGAGTCTCCTAATTAGAGCCTAATGAAAGATAAAAGAGCAAATTATGAGGCATGAAGAAGAAAAGACAAGCTATGAAAGGAGTCAGACAAGTCCATACGTCTTTTTCTATACGTGGGCTGGTTTTACCTTCCTTTCTGCTACATTTTTATACTTTTCTTCTAATCTCTCAGTGCAGTTATTACAATGAAAGATCAAAAACTTGTATTTCTTATTAAACAAAGAAAAAGGTAGAAAGAAATCAAACAGCTGTAAAAGATAATTTTTCTCTGTGTTTATGTCCTGCACAGTTGGTTTAATTCTCTGAGGATTTCAGAGGTACCGTCCATAAAGATAACATGTCTTTATTCCATTTAACGTCCTCAGAAACCAGTGCTCAGAGTGTCTGTCTCGGTAGGGGTCTTGCGTGGGCTGGGTAAACTCTTCAAGTATTCCAAATGCCGCCGGGCCTCGGCTTGGTTCTGCCTAACGTAGTACACGACATACACGATGACCATAAAGAACCACACAAACATGGTCACCAGCATGGCCACGTCTGTGGTTTTTCTCTGCAGGCTGCAAAAATTCACCCCAGAATCTAGAAGTTTGACCAGCGGCTGGCCGGCGTGCTCGCCTTGTGAACCCGGGTCCTCCCACCTGCTTCCCTCACCCACCCCCCGCACAGAGCTCTTGCAGATGATCTCGTTCACCGACTCGGCCTCCAGGTTCAGAGTCTCCATCAGCTCCTGCAGGGTGCAGTCACAGTGCCAGGGATTGTGGAAGAGGCGTGTCTTTGCTCGGGTGGAGCCAAACTCCTCCCTGCTGGCGTGGCTCAGCTGGTTATATGAAAGGTCCAGCAGGCGCAGCTTGGGTCCCAGGTGGCGCAGGGCTCCAGTAGAGAGAGAGTCAATCCGGTTGTCAGAAAGATAAAGATCCTGCAGGTGGACCAAGTGGCTGAAGGCACTCTCTGGGATGCTCCGGATATAGTTGCGTTCCAGGTGGAGAGAGACTGTCTCTGCTGGGATCCCGTCTGGGATCTCCCGCAGCCCAGCATCTGAGCACACCACAGTGAAGGTGTCCCAAGCACAGTGACACCTGTCCGGGCACTGCAGGGTCGCTTGACCCAACAGAGCTGAGAACATGAGTGACACACACAGCCATGAGCAGAGGTCCAGTCTAGTAATTTTCCCTCTTCCACCACCGACTGTGGCGCACCTCTTCTCACACCAACCTGTGCCCATGGCCTCACCATAGCCCCGTGACATGCATCAGATCCCAAACCGAGTCACACCGTCACACGATCACACCAGGAGAATCTGACAGATGGAGAGAAAACGGGTCAGTCTGGATAAAATGATCGTCTCTACAAACACACAGTACAATCAGAATGAACAGTCATGAAGTGGATTAGGTGGAAAAGGAATAAAAAAGTGGCGTAAAACACAAAATAAAACACTTTACGGAGAGGCATTACTAAGAATCATGCAAGAGGACACTTTCTTGTGCATTAAAAGCATATCTTATTGTGAAAAGAGCACATTGACCAATTTGGATTCTTAATTGCTGCTTGTTAAGAACTCTAAAAGAAAACTTCACTTCTAAAAGAGGCACCAGCTAATTTCATTGCAGTGCTTCCCTTCTTTAATCACAGTCTGAGCAGCAGTAATGATAGTTTAAGTGGCATAATAAGGTTAAAAATCCCTCTTGCATTTTTGCATCAGAAGGACATAAATCATTAAACGTGATTATCTCAACTCCTGCCTGCCTCATATTTCTGTTGTGTCCTTTCATCAGCAATGGTCAAGACCAGAAGAAAGGCATCATATTATGCTGATCAATACATTTTCATCTCATTTACCCCTCTATTTATGCTCTTATGACACCGTAGCTGCTTCATCATGTTCCAAGAGGTAGGTAGTAGAGATTGAGGCTTTGAAGGAGAAGGATCAATAGCTCAAGCTTTGCCTCTTTCACTATTAAGGACAAGAACATCAATCCTTGGTGAGTCTCATGATGTCAATAAGTGACATTGAAAAAAAAAATCCCTCAGCAGTGATCCCACCCGTTCTCCACTTACGCAGCTATAGGAGGCTAAAGTTTGAAAAAGGCAAAGTGGCTCAATTTAATCACGTATGCCAATTCACAAAGTGCCATCTGTTTTGTCTAGCTTTTAAAACTCGTCTGAGTCTGTGGATGTTGGCGATGCAGGCTTGCGCAAACAATCTAATCAGGTGTTTCCAGAACACTTTTGTTTTCCCGAGACAGACGTTTGATGCTCTTGTTGTGGGACAAAAGTCTCAAGAGACCGCTTGAATTTGATTAGGAGAATATCCTCTTAAATGTCAAGCACCCTCTGCCTTCAGAACACAATCAAAACAATCATGAATCTCCAGAATCCACTGAACGGAGGTTTTTCTAAAAGGCTTGCACCCAAAGATGGCCCAGATAAGGCAGATAAAGGAAACTGGGTAACAGTGAGTTGCAAAAGTATTGATCCCTCTTGAAATATGGTACCACTTTACAATAAGGCTCCCTTATAGATGTTAATAAATAATTTATAGATGCATTATTAATTCCTCTATAAACACTTTATAAATCATTATTAACTGCTTATTATGCATTAATTAAGGGTGACAGAGAAACAAAACTGACTAGCTGTTGCCAAATAGTGAGCCAAATCTGTTCACCTATATATATTTCATCTAGAGTTGTTATATTAAACATTTCAGACTAAGTTACTACCTTGTAAGAACAACAAGCATTTGTAAACCTATTTTTTTAGGATATAATATTAGTTGTAGATTTGTATAATGCTGTGATAAAGTACAATATTACATGCTTAAAAATAGGTTTACAAATGCTTATTGTGCTTACAAGGTAGTAATCTGAAATGTTTAATATAACAACTCTATGAGATGTACAGGTGGTAGATTTGGCTCACTATTTGGCAAAAAACTGGTCAGGTTTGTCTCTCTGTCACCCTTAATTAATGCATAATAAGCAGTTATTAATGATTTATAAAGTGTTTATAGAGGAATTAATAACGCATCTATAAGGGGAGACTTACTGTAAAGTGGTACCGAAAAATGTTTTATTTTGTTCCTTTACAACCTGGAATTTATTATTTTTTTATTTGACTAAAGCGCATAATTATATAAAAATATTCCAACTCTTAATTATGTTTAATGAGAAGAAATTATTTAAAATAATTATCTGACTGATGTGTGAATATTCTGAATCTTTGAAGCCCTGACCTTTACTTTCAGAAGCCACATGTTTTTTGTTCAGTAAGATCCTTCTGTGAGCAATCGAAGGACCATATGGTCTAAACCTGGTAAATGATGTGCACTTGTTGTAACAGCCCCCATCAGTCATTCAACCTTTATTTATACAGGCTACTCTCAATGAGCCACGAGGACTCATTTACAAGAGAGACCTGTTCCAGACAGAACATAATAAGTACAGAACATCAGTCCAACACCTCTGAGAAGTGAGAGCTACAACCAGGCAAGAAACGGCATGAAGACCAAGGAACGGTCCACACAGGTCAGAGCCAAAGTTGTAGAAGCACAGATCAGGATTGGTGTTTAAAAAGAACCCAGAATTCTGAATGTCTCATGGAGCTTCATTATTTTAGCTAATCTGACCTGAAACTCTAAAACCAAGGACCACCTGAGTGGAGGACCACACCTCGCTCCATCAGGATTATCTTGAGCCTCCTGGATAAACATCCAGGAGGCTCAAGATAATCCTGATGGAGCGAGGCAGCTCTTCTGCAGACATGGGCTGATCTATCCTCAACAAGCCACACAAAGCTGGATTTCATGGAAGACTGGCAGCAATAAAACATTGCTTAAAAAGAATTTTCAAAGCATGTGGGAGAAGAAACGGTGCTGAGACCAAACTTGAACTTTTAGGTCATCAAGGGCAACAACATCTATCATTATGCTGATAATACAGTTAAGAATGGTACAACAACCTGCTGGGGAGATGTTGTTCATCACCAAAGCCTGAAAAGTGGGCAGAGTCGAAGCAAAGATGGATAATGCAAAAATCTCATTCATGAGAGGAACCTTTTGGAGTTTTAAAGAGTTTGGAGACTGGGACGGAGGTCCACCTTCCAGCAGGACAGAGACCCTGAATACAATGTTGAAGCAACACTGCAGTCAAAGTCCAAACTTAAGGGCATAAACAGCACCCATATAACCTGAAGGAGTTTGGTAATGAAGAATGGACAAAACTCTATGAACCACGAGCAAATAGAGACCACCGTAAAGAGACTCAAGGATGGAACTGATGCAAAATATGGTTAGTGTTGAGTTTTGGGGGCTGAAAACATTTGCACACACCATTTTTCAGATTCAGATCTCTCCCCCCCCCCCCCCACACACACACACACACACACATTTTTTCATTTTACTTTTGACATAAATATTTTACCATTTAACCTTATTAACTTGAAGTATTGTTGTAGATTTATTACAAATTTAAATAATGTTTCACACTGCAAGGCAACAAAATCCGAAGATTACCAAAAAGAATGAAAACTTTTGCAACCTATAATGTACGTGAAGAGCAGGATTGTGTGTCCCACTTGTGCTCATTATTAAAGTGATGCATGCAAATGTCCATTTAATAAAGCAATCACCTGCTGCATGGAAAAGAATGCGAGTGAGACAAACTGAAGGACAGATATGAACTCCCAAACCAACGAGGCTGCAGCTCCTGAATCTCATTAACATGATTTCTATTTTCCTCAAGACAAACAAATAAATGATCTAATTATTATATTGCAGGATTAACTTGAGCCTTGCATCCTCACGTTTCCAGTGAAATGTTCAGTATTACACTAATCTGGGTTAACGCGCTCGTGTGGAGGTTGTGACATCAGGATTAAGCCTCCGTTCGCTGCATGCTTTGCGACTTTTAAATGACAAAATAAAATTAAAAATCCAATTATCGTCGCGTTTCTGTAAATTTAAAGGCTTTAAAGGCTCAACTTTGTGCAAATGTTAACACATTTTGCAGAGTTAAAAACAAAAATAAAAAAAAGACGCGGATATCAGAGGCGGGTTTTACGCAAATTGGACACATCATGTTCTCCATACTCACTTACCTTTAAAATGGTTTGTTGTGAAGTTTGAATCCATGTGGAGGGGGTTGCTTCATCCCCAGCTTGTGCTGTTTCTCCTGGGTTGTTCCTGCAGAGCTGCTGTGCGCGCTGTGCGGAGAATCAGCTGCGCTCCGGGCTTTGTCGCCTGCAGACGGCTCCATTGCTGACTGTCTCTCCAGTGGGGGGGCAGTTTTCAGCAGTGGGATGTGGGGCCAACTCCCCACCCACTTTCTGTCTCTCTGACACTGGGCGTTAGAAGAGGGTGTCGTCATCACCTCTCTCTGCCCCTGGCATCAATCTCCACTTTGTGGGAACACGCTGCTTCCCTGCACGAGCTAATTACTATTTAATTACCTTTAAGTATAATTAGATTTTACAGCCATTTATAGGAGTGAATCCCAAGCAGCTACACAAAGACAAATACACATGTTGGAAAAAAGAAAGTTGGGCTATAATTGCACTTGAGAACAAACTTCAGCGCAAAATAAATAGCAAATAGACCTCTCCATTGTGCCTTTGTTTGTTTGTTTGTTTCAGCCTCATCAAAGATTTACAAATTTAATAAAAACGAAAAACTGGAATATCTCGTTAAAGATGGGTTTAAATAAAAAGGAAAAGCTAAAAATGATCTACAGTAAGCAATGATGGATTAGCTCCAGAGGGAAGAGTCAGTAAAAATCAATACAAAGTTGTCGTGGGTGATAACCTTCATCTTTTGATGACACTTTTCCATCCTGAAGGGAGTGGGCACTTCCAGGAAACTGGGTGCTTTAATAAGTGTGGAAGTTGTGTGAATCATATCCAACCAGGCAGCTGATCTGACTCTGTGACAAGATCTTCATCAAAACACTGAAATATGTTTTAGAGGCAATAAATAACTGTTCCTGTTTCACTCCCTTCCATGATCACTTCAAGAGTCCTGGTGCTACACGTTGGTCATTATCTTACTAAAACAACTTGGTTTACTCTATCAAATTTAGCTGCGCTAAAGCTTCACCTCAGATATAATGGTTGAGGTCACAAAGTTTCACAAATTAAAACAGACATTGATGCAAAAACTTGAATATATACTTAAAGACAGGATTGTTGAAAGAGCAAAAACATGAGAAAAGCAGCTAATAATGGCCTTGGTGTTTTTTAAAGGTCACATTTGTAAAAAAAAAGTATCTTATGAATGACTAGGAGTATTTATTAAGTCAAGTGAAATGTTGAAATTCTCAACCTCGTTCTTATATATGATGATAAACAGTCACCGTTTATTATTGCAATTCCAACAGTGTGCTAGAGTATTCTTAGTCATTCAGGACATGACAAATTCAAAAAGATATAAAATAAATAAAATAATATGTGTGTAACACGCCTACTATACTATACAAACACAATAACACTCCTTCTAATAACACTTTATCTGACTACAGGGTTTTGAACACTGTGTTCCACAGGGTTGTGTGCTATCACCCCTTTTATTCTCTATATACACAAATGAGTTGAGACATAACAACAAATACTTCACATTAATTAAGTATGCTGATAATATGACCGCTGGTCTAAAAGACTCCAACAGCCCGTCCTACTCCCAGCTCATAGATAAGCTCTCTGCCTGGTTTGATGACAGTTATCTGCAATGTTAGTTAAACCAAGGAACTTTGTTTGGGAGGTAGATGGGGAGCAGCCAGCACCAGACCTATATTCAGGCCTTCTGTTATAAAGGGTAGGAAGTAGAGCAGGTGACTGAATATCATTTACATTTAAATAAATTCTAATACCTCGGAACAATAATTGATAATAAGTAGAGTCGACCTTTCAGCCCAACACTGACTATGTTTATATAAAAAAACAGACAGCGGCTCCAACTTCTATACAAGCTAAGGAGCTTTAATGCTAGCAAAATTACTTTGCAGTTGGTGTACAGGTCACTGGTTGAAAGTGTTGTTTAATTTAATATCGTCTCATGGTATGGGAACCTCCTAGTCAGAGACAGGAACAAGTTGTCCCTGGTGGTCAAACAAGGTAGTAAAATCATTGTTCATCAACAAATTAAACTCACAAACATGTACAGTCAGGTTCTAGGGGAAAAAAAGGCAATACAGGTTTACATTGACCCCACTCATCCATTGCAGCCATTATTCAGGTTGAACCATCTGGACTGGTTCCTCTGGTAAAGAAAAGCAAGTACAAAAAGTCATTTGTTCCCTGTGCTGTGAGTGTCCTTAACAGGGTCCTATTTAAACACATGACAATTGTCTGCTAAAAACACTTATGTGTTTAATGTATCGTGTATTTTAGAATGTTTTTATTGGGTTAGCAAAACTTTATATGCATTTTTATGACATTTCTAACTTGTGAGGGTTTTAATGAGCCAGATGTCAAAGATAAATATCAATGTCATTGAATGTTATGGACAATAAAGTTATATTGATTGATTGATTTAAAAAAAATGGACTTTTATTTTATAGTTGAAGACATTTACCGGATGAGAAGCTAAATGTCCTCAGTCCAATTGCTTTCTTTTGTTAAATCATTTTGGAAGTTCCAGCAGTGATGCATGGTGGTGGCAGCATCATGCTTTTGGGGTGATTTCAACAGCAAAGAAAGAAGAAAGAACAAAGTAGTAAATAATAAAAAAAAAGTAAAACAATTCCAGATTTCAGACTAGACAAAAAAATATTTTTTTAACAGAATGTGAGCTAAAAGTGTGTTTTGAGTCAATGGACAGTTCTGAAAACTCACAACTCCACAGTACCAAAACATTTGTAAGTCGAAGGTTTATTGTTGTGATTTTAGTTTTCGCCTTCCTAACAGACTGACAAAAACTATACTTTTTTTTTTTTTTTTGAGCCACTAAGGTTTGTCCCTGAATGCACAGGAACGATTGCAACACGGTGCACTTTGGTGTCAAACTGGTAAGAAAAATGTTTGCAGCAGTCACGCCAGTGCTGACTGATAGACAGAGCTGAAACTTGAAAAGGAAGATGCGCCTTTTCTTAATCATTCCTGCTTTGTCCTTGTTTATTAATGGAGGTCGAGCAGAGGGAGACCTAACAGAGTGCAGTGACTGTATATCAAGCAGAAAATGGAGATGGACTTGGACAAGCTCATAAGTAAATGCATTAATTTCCAAACACAAAACAGAGCCAGCCTTCAGTCCCACATATATCAACTTCAGATTCCCATCTGAATAATGAAAGCAAAGAAAGCACCAAATGGCAAATGTATAGAGAAATACCATTCATGGCTTTTACTTAAACCCAGGTGCCCCGTTATCACTACCTTCAACTATAATTTGAAACACTATCGGTCCATCAATAGGAGAGCCCTCAGGGGGTAAAGGACAGATCTGACAGCCAAGATGGCACCTCATCTGCCTTCCCAGCCTATTCCCATCAGCCCACTAAAATCTATAACAATTCCACCCCTGACAAATATAATGCAGACCACTGCAAGTCTTATGATTCTTTCTTCCACTTTACAGATGTATTTTGCCGAATGTTTTACCCTTGACAGGACATCATCTCTGTCAGAAACAAGGCTGTTGACAAAATGAGTTTTGTGGGTTTGCAGAAAGAAAACAAAAGGTTGTGTAATGAGAAAGCACATAATGGCAGAAAGCATAGCTAAAAATAAATAAATGTCAGTATTTCTGGTTACTAAAATGAGAAAGAATAGTATGATTGTGGGAGCAGAAGTTCAACTCTGCAAAAGGAAAAACAGCCAAGCTGGGGACACGGAGTGTCTATCAAGGATAATCTCTGAGGAAGCATATTTCTGAAAAGATGCACATGCCCATGAGCAGTTTGCTCGTGACAATGCTGACAGTGTGAACTCTACAGAAAAACCTGACTGCAGTGAAGTGAAACAGTTCAGCTTCATCCGTTTTCACCCGCTGTCCTCTGAGGGGTAACACTGATTAAACTATAAATGAAACCAAATGAGGCAGTAAGAAAAAAAAAAAAAAAAAACAGCAAGTTGGAGAAATCCACTTGTTTTTGTTCAAGGGAAAAAAAAGTGTTGCAGCTGATTTTTCCAAGCTTTTGCTGTAGTCGTTTAAAAATTCTTACGACCAAAGACTAGAACGAAGGTTTGATCGATAGCATTGGGCTGGGATGACATCAAACATGTCTAGCAAACAACGCAGCAGACTGCATGCATGATGGCTACCTCCAATGCTTTTCTCCATGTCAGCTTAAACAAAGACGACATCCCTGGGCCCAAAATGGACTTGGAATATACCGAAGGATACAGCATTAAACAGCTCAAGTGGTGCCTACAATGCAGCTAGGGGACTAGCAGTGTCTGGCAACCAGGTCGAATTGATAAAAAGGTACGCGTTTTCATGCTGATTCGAGCTCTTTTGCCTCAGTGATAGGAAATTTAAATGTTTCCATTATTAGTTTTAGATATATACCACTGTTAAGACTGTATCCTGATTCGTGCTCAATAAATCAGGCAGATAAATGGAACAAGGTAAAGTCAGGTCCTCTGGACGTTTTCTTTTTGTTGAAACATTTCGTTTTTTATACAAAAGACTTCTTCAGTCAGAGGCGCTGCAACAAACTCAGTCTTATAAATAACACTTTCTCATATCAACCAGTTTGATGGTGCTCAGGTGGTTCCTACAGTTCAAGAGTTTGAGCAAGCAGCGGTGGAGAGGGTGGACTAGAGGAACCACCTGACCACCATCAAACTGGCTGATCCTCTATGAGAAGGTGCTATTTATAAGACTGAGCTTTACACGGTTCCAGGTAGGATGGTGATGGTGTTGTTGGACTCTTTAGTGTTTTTAATACATTATCCTGCCACTTAATTGTTGAGCTCAATTACAAATATGGACTGAATTAAGCACTTAAAGAGACAAATTAGCATATGCGGGATAAAAAAAAAGACGCTCTGTACTCCTGTTAGTTTCTGACACAAAAGGAAAAAAAGAGGGTAAACCATAATAGACTGATGGACATACCTGTTCAGGGACATCAGTCAGTGATGTGGGATTAGGATGCTCCTCTGTCGGCCCGTTCACTCCAATGAAGTGTTTCGAACTAATGCAAGTATTCCTGTTTACATTTGTCTGATCAAAGCCAACTCGGCCACAAAGTCGAATCCAACAATCACATTTCTCCCCCTTAGTAATCGGCTTTGGAAATGGCATGGACTTGTATATCGAGGCTCAGCATATTGGCCCTCACTTTTGCAAGTCCCATTGCAACCATGCTTCTAAGACACCATTTTTCGGCTGTTTTTTTTTTTTATAGATGCAAACGACGACTACAGAACTGCATTGTATTGTACGTTCTGTTTGCCAGACATCCGGGTACTTGCTGACATCACATATTGCATAATGTTTTTAATAACCTGACCAGCATTATTGCCGTTATTAGAAACCACAGAGAAGAAAGAAAAATATTCTCTCTTTAGACAAAGAGTATTCAAATGTTCTGCTTTGTAAGTAAAGTGAAAGACAGGAAAGGACCTAGTGCTGACTAGTTCTGTTGGACGATAATAAAAGCATCACCTGAAAAAAAAATCAGGAGCTTGAGAATAATTTTATTAAAAAAAATAAAAAGAGTGCAACTAGTGATTTCCTGTAATCAAGCAAGTGCTCTTGGTTATGAATAACCCTGAAATTATGCATTCAAAGGGTAAAGTGGCAACTGCAAGCAAACTCAAAAAACATTTGAATGTTAAATGTTTTCTTCGGATTGATGTTTCCCCCACTTTATCTCCAATTATGCGGCTGCAATGCACTTCATTTCACTGTTCCATTTTGTTTGGCGAGGTAAGTTGTGAAAATTCTTATCGCTTACATCTTCACAAAGAATACAGCTTTAGTTGGCAGCAACTATGAACCATGTGACTATAAAAGGCTGTCACAAAGGTGTGCTGATTGGATTGGGACTTTGGCTCTGGTCCAGGACTAGAAAGAGCACAAAAATGTGTGTGTGTGTGTGTGCATGTGTGAGTACTTTTGAGACACAGGTAAGACTAAAAAAGGAAGGTGCAAAAGTGATTTCTAAAGCCATTAAACGTATCCCGTGCACTCTATGTGGGAAACGTTGTGCAGCTGATAGTGAGACAAAATAGATGGTAGACTTTGAACTGAACTGTGATGACCATGTATCAATGCAAAATCCCTAAATTGGAATTTTTTTCTATTTATCAACACAGGTAAAAAAAAAATTAAATGCTTCTTGAAATTAATAATAGAATAATAAAAGAACATAAATCAATTGCACTGCTAAACCATTAAAGCAGAGCACCATGAACAGCTGGAAGCAGTAAGATTTAGTTTTACCTGCCTTGGCATTTGCACAATAACCAGCAATGATGGAAAAATAAGTCAGATAGGCACAAGGTCAGCTGGCTGTAAATGCAATAAGGAAGGAGTTACAGGTAGAGCTCAGAGGGGTGAAGAAAACCGAGAGTATTAATGAGAAATTTTAAGGCACATCTCCGACTTTATTACTGGGAAATGGACTATGCAGGTAACCTTGTCACAGCATCTGCTGTCACAAGGAGAACCTCTCCATGGCGTTTAGAAATGTAATTTCTCTGAATTAATCAGACTTCATTATTGACGCTTTGATCCTGGAGCAAGCGGAAGCAGCCTCTGAATCACTTTGTTGTGCTGTGGTTAATGTCAGCAATGCTGGAAATGAAAAGCGGCGCCCAGGTCCAGGTGCATGTATTCACATCTTGAAAGGTAAGGTCGTGGTATTCTTGAGCTTTGAAGATGTTGGAGTTGGGCCATCCGATGGTACCATATTAATGTCACAGTTTGGAAAAACAAGACTATAGTAGAAAACTGTTTATTGCTCGTTTTATCCCAGGGTTGAATACAAAAGACCAGAAAGTAATCCAAAGTACTCTTTCAAATAAAAACATAACGGGTAAAGTTATGAGCAAGTCAAGAGGACAGACATGCACTAACATCATAAATCCAGATTGAGATTACACTAAACACTAAAATTTATTACAATATCCAAACAATTAGTGAACAGTTTTCTGTTTTTTTTCTAATTAGCTGCTTCCATTAGCTGGAGACTGGGCAGCAGCCTGCAGGGTCCGTCTGGCCATCTCCAGGGCTCCTTCCTGGGTCTTGTTGCCACCAATAAAGCCTGCAGCATGGACAAAGATGCAGCCTTTAATCCCACTGAGTTCTGACAGCTCCTCATCTCGTACGCCACGCCATTCTTCCAGAAGGGGCAACCTGGAACATGAGGACAGAAGGGAAAGTTGGCCAACAGATGGACACTATGTGGTCAGCTGCTCACTTTTTCAGTTTACGTCATTTTTGTCAAACACAGTGCTGCACATGTCTACACGAGCCGAATGACAGCACAAGGAAAAATAAGCTTTTAGTTTAAAATAAAAACAAAAAACATAACTGAATCATCAGATAGTCCCTTTTCAACTCTAGTTAGCTGCTGGTTGCAACTGTTGCTGCTCCACATTCTGGAAAAAGTTATACAGACATTTCCAAACAATTTACAAAAGGAAAACACTCAGGACATTCGCCATTCTTCTCAAGAGTCTACAGCTGCACAAAACCCAAAGAGCGACATCTCAAACTTTAAAGGTCTTAGTTGTCAAAAGTTAATGACTGTAGAGCAAAGGGAAAAAAAAACTGAACAAGAGTGGCTCGTTTGCAAAGGTTGCAAGGATAAAGTATTTTCTTTCTAATATAAATATATATATATATATATACACTAGTGTTGTTTGGACAGACAAGACTATGGTGGAGATGCTTGGTAATAATGACAACATACTGTGCCACATGTGGATGTCAGCAGAAACATCTTGCACCAACTGTCAACCACAATGAAGGACGAGCCGATAATTTGACCTCCACTTTTCAACCACTGGTCAGTCATTGTGTCAGACATGCACTTTTCTTCAACAGACAAAATATTTTTGCCAGAATAACAGTACGATTCAAAACAGGTAGAAATATAAGGGTTTCATTATTTTTTTTTATTAACATGTCAGTTTTGTTTGCAGTTGTGTTAAGACGGTAACAAAGTTGACATCATGGCCCTACGCACAACTAGCTGTTAGCTCGTTAATTTGATCAAATTAAACTGGTTCTTACAACTGCGGTGGTTCAAAATGTTATTTAGCAAATTAATAAATTGCTCAAATCTTTCCCACTTCAAAAGATTTGAAGCGTTCCTTTAATTTTCAGCGAATTAAAAAAATAATGATACCAAACGGAAAATAAATTTGAGGACATTCTTTGGGAACAACATTAGGAGCTGCATGGCCTTAAACACATTTAGCAAAGGAAAATACATTAAAATTACATTAAAACAATTTCTAACATTATTTCCACCTTATTGCACAAAATCACTCCCATCTGCTTCGTTTTAGATTCAGTGATCAGAAAACACGAGACGAGACACTGCTGTTACACGTAAAGTGTGAAAGGAACCACCGAGCAAAACTACCATCAGCACCAGCAAATAGAGCAATAAAAAAAAAAATAAAAAAAAATAGGCTTTATATTCTTCTCCAGCAATGTGGAAAATCAGAAGTGGGCAAAGTGGCAGGAGAGCAGCAATACGGCAGAGTCAAACGGCAGTCTTACAAAGTGGAGAAGATTGGCTCTGCAGGGTTCATGAGCTGACCTCCACACAGGAACTCTGGAAGAGGCGTACAGGAGCTGACAATTCATAAAACGTGGAGGAGCTCATTTACCTCCTACTGCATGTAACACGCACACGTCTGTCAACAACAGCCCGGAGAATCATTTAAAACACATTACTAGTTAGATCAAGCATGTGCGCATGAGTGTGTCACTCTTGCTCTAATGGGGTTAAATTCTCCATTATGTTGGCTCCCAGCCCTCCTCAAAGGATCGTTATTTTTAGATATTTTTGCTCTGATTTCACTCTGACCAAAACTTCACTGCTCTTCCTTACATTTTCACTGCCTCGGAAACAGACTTTAAATGCCTTAAAGGCTTCAAACGCTTGAGTCTTTATAAAGACTTTATATATTTAACAAAAAAATCCTCTGCCATCCTGAAAGTGTGCTCTCTCTGTGTCTATGGGATGAATTATGGAGGTCTATATTAAAACATATCAGAAATAAAAAGTGACATTCTTGTCTACCAAAGCTAAAAGTTGAAGCTGATTTTTTTCCCCACACGCCTGAGACACTTTGACATCTTTTGAAAATGAAGATCATCTCCTAGAACTGTTATACTCAAACAAATCCCCCTATCATAAGAAATTCTCATAAATTAACTACACAAACATGTTCTAACCGTGTTATTACACAAGCTTGCCCCCATTAGGACTCTCACAGGACACCTTTGGGTAACGAGTATGGCACAGCTACTGTATAATCCCTGTTAAAGAATCATCCAATCGATCGCTCCACAGTACGGCTGGAAAACAAGCTCTGAAGAAAGGTCAACAGGGCTGGTAATGAGGGAAGGTGTGGGAGGGAGATGACTGTTATTACAGGCCAGGAAGTTCTTATTCTCAAGATGACCATGCTAAAAATAAAAACCGCAATTAACAAATTGCTGTTTCCGAGGAGAGGACCTCCCTCTTCAATGAAGAAACATACCAAAAAATATACTTGAATGAGGATATACTGGAAAGAGATCTTTTAGTTATTAGTTAATTGCAAGTACTTAGTGACATTATGCAGATCTTGAACTTTTGTCTAACCTTCCTCTCCAAGATGTTAAGATATCTTTTTGGTTAATGCCATGTACTGTATATGCATAGCTTTTATGCATTTTCTAAAACTAATTTCAACTAAATACAAAATGAATATGGGCTAAAAGTACACCAACTTAATGTCCTTCATAATTCAGCTGTGCAATTTGTAGCACCCTCCTTTTACAGGACTTGCATGTACGTAAGTGGACAATTAATTTACAAGTTGTTTCTGTTGCTTCACAATTAGCTCATCCACTATGCAACAATTAATTGCATCTGCAATAATATCGCGATATGATAAAATGAAATTATCTAATCGCAAAGGCTGCAATTTGACTGGTCACGTGATTTGGTTATGTGACTTGTGAGTGAGCGGAGCAAAGCAGAGCGGGGAGCGGGAGAAGTCAACATTGCGTTTTAACCGGTTGCACAGTGGTGTAAGGCTCGTCAGGAGCCGATACATCTGAAAGTTTGGTACCAAAGAGGAGCAGCACATCTGCTGTTTGGAATTATTTTGGCTACAAAAAAGAAGACGCTGCACAACGACATGTATTGTGCAGAACCTGCCTTGCTGCTGTTGCTACCTCTCAAGGTAACACCACAAATCTTTATCAACGCTTAAAAAAATACCACCAAGCCATTTACGATGGTTGAATGGCTAGAATGCCAACTACCAGTGCTTCAACTTAAACTAAGCAAAGTACCAGCCGACAGGATCACAGACCGAACTGTTCGAAGGTATTACTCTGTATGAACAGAATTTGAAACACCACGTGGAAAGAACTCGAGCAATAACCGAGTTCATAGCGAAAGACATGATGTCCATTAATATAGTGACCAAGCCTAGGTGTACGGCTTTGGTAAACACAAGTGGTACAGAATGCCCTCGTGCACACATTTTATCCAAGTTGCTTTCCCGAAGCTACAAAAAGAATTTAAAAAAAAATGCAGAAACAGAATTGCAGCGGAGCTGAAAACAGTGGAGGTTTTTGCAACTGAAACAGGTTGATTTATTGCTTGTGTTCATTGAAAAATACATGAGAAGAGGACATTGAAAAATAATCACATATTAAATCGCAATCGTAATAATGAAGCAAAAAAATTGCAATTTAGAATATTTTCCAAAATCGTTCAGCCCTAATAACATCTCAATTTTTTAAAGGCAGGAAAAAATTCCTTCCCAACATTCAACCATTGAAAACTCTCCGAGAGGGAAAACTATCCTCAGTGAATTGCTTTAATATGTAAACTCTAACCTAAAGACTTTTTTTTTTACCAGAGACTTTATTTAGACCCAACAACCATCAAATATGCAAAGGTTTTCTGATGTTGTTTTGCTACATAAATACACTTGGCTTTGAGAAGATGTTGGTGAAGAAGTCATCAAGAAACAAGTGACTCTTTGCTTTTATTACTCAAGCTGCTACTAAAAAAAATGGAACAAAAGAAAAAAGGTAAAAGACGACGGTAACATAAAATCGCAGCCATTAGTTAGAGCTCTGACATAAGGTGGGTGCAGATAGTGACGGTGGTCCTTTTTCTACCAGATAAAAGTTATTGGTTCAGCTCGTGCCGTTCTCAGTCTAAAGTAGTATCCTGCTAAGCACAGCATCGAACAATGAATAATTTCATTCTGTGTTATTTCTCTTGGCTCACTTTCCTTAGCAATGTGGTGCAGATAAAAATAGACCTCTTTCCCCCCCCCCAGGTGCAGTCGCAGGGACACAGGCGATAACAACACCCCTTTTGCAAAGTCGGCACTGGGAGGAAGCAGGACACCCAGAGAAGAGCCATCTGGAGCTAGGTTCTATTTCACCGTCTCACTAAACATTGCTCTCGTGTTGCTCCCCACCAACCAACATGTTTGCATTAACGTCTTTAAGGTGTTTGGTGGCTATAAACAGGTGCCTGTCAGGCAGGACAAAAAAGTGTGGAGGAAGGTAGATGAGCAGTTGAGGAAGAAGAGTAGAAGAATTGGAGAAAATGGGATTAATGGGAAGACAGTAATAGATTGGGAAAAAAATTGTGCTGAAAATGTAAGAAGGGGATTATGAGACGGAAACAGAAATACTCTGCACAGGAGAGAAGGAGGGACAGAGAAAAGGGAAAAAGGAACACTAATTGGAGAGCCGGAGAAGAAGCAGCTCATGGAAAGAGGAGAAAATAGAAGGAATCTGACACTACACCCACTGGTCAGAAAGGAGTGAATCAAAAAGTCATTCAGCCTGTTCCCTGTGTCTGTCAGCAAGATGTGCTCAGGTGGTCCCCTGCCGCTCTCAAGTAATTCATAATCAGTAATGAGACCTGTGCAGTCTAGAAAAAAAAAAATAAAGCACTGGGACACATTCTGTCACAGGTACAGGATAAAGATGTTTGAAGATTTGTGTCGTTAATTCAGTTCAGTTCAATTTATTTATATAGCGCCAAGTCACAACAGAATTCAACTCAGGGCACTGAACAAAAGCATTTATAGATATATAAAAGTAAGTTAATAACATTAATTATTTGAGGAGCAGACTGCTTTGAGTTTAAATTC